TAACACTGTATATGAGGAAATGCATATATGTCACTGAAACACTTGTCTATCCCACACTGAAATTGAGCTAATAAATAGTCACAGTGAACACGAAGGTGCCAACAACCTTAGCAGAAGTGTGTTGAACTGTGTTGGAACAGATGAGTGGTTGTTAGTGTATCATGCATTTTTCATTGCATTTGCAAGCTTAGTGTGTTAACAATTTTCAGAGACATACGAAAGGGAATGTTCAGTGCATGGGAAGGGGAGCAACCACACGTAACCACCTCTACAACCTCTCCAGCCCCAGCTCCACAAGCATGACTACAGCAGCAGGCTCTTAGTATATATATATATATATATATATATACACACACACACACACACACACACACACACACACACACAAAGCAAAGGACAGAAAGGTGAACATTCTCTGTTACTTCTCCAATCTTGCTGGCAATAGGGCACTCGTTAGTTACAAGCCTCTGAGGCTTGAGGCCTCTATCTAATAGGATACAATCACATGCGTTGTGCCCCTAAGTGTGCTTTAAATTTCCTAACCAAATATTCCAGGTCAAGTATTTGCAGTGTACTGGGTTAAAATGAACATTTTAAAACTTAGTTTATTAAACAGAAATAAAATTAAGATGCTAAATTAGTTCTCCCAAGCAACAGAATGTTTTTTTGCTATAAACTGAAAAATTTCCAATGGACCAGAGGCAGCAGGGATCACACACCTGGGCAAAACGTGCTAAAGTGAAATGGAGAATGGACTAGTAGACTGTGCAGGGCACAAATGGGTTCAGCTCCACTGAAATGGGGCAGAGGCTCTGATCTGGACGTGGTAAGTTGTCCACAGGACTAAAGGGCCTAGATGCACTTCCACACACGTAGTGTTACGTTCCACTTATATGAAGCAATATCACACAAGTAACATGCAGCGTTTCGTAGTGGTTAAGAGTGCCGGACTGGGGCTCGAAGGACAAGGATTTCAGTCCTCACTCAGCCATGCAACTCACTAGGCCAGTCGCTGACACTCAGCCCCACCTACCACACTGGGCTGTGAAAACAAACGAGAGAGGAGAAAGCATTATATAAACCTCCTTAGGTTCCTTGCAGGAAAAAAGGCGGGACAGAAGTGAAATAATAAATAAATAAGAGGCGAAGGCAAAAGACCCAAAGGGCAGGAGGAGCAGTGCAGGGCCTGAGAAGCACGAGACGGCCCCGGCCTCCCTTGGAAGCGCCCACAGACGGGTTCCCAACCGCTCCGCAGAAACACGAAAGACGGATTCACCTCTCCATGCGGCGCGGAGGACTCCGGCACGGAAGGCTCTTTGGGCCGCCGCCGCTAAGGCGGCCGCCGCCATAGCCGCCGCCATTTTCGGAACGATCCTGCGCGGCCACCGTACTCCAGGCGTCCGCCGCCGCCGCCGCCACCTCTCCCAGCACCTGAATTGATACGCTAGGCGCACCGGTCCCCAGTTCCGTCTTCTCTGAGCTCCGTACAGTAATAAAAGGGGCTGGGAAAAAAATTGACGCGCCACGCAAGTCAGTCAGCGAGACAGGCAGTGCGAAGGACAGACCCTTCCCCGCGCCACCGGAATGGGGGCTTCCTGTCAGGACCCCAAGTGCACTCCATGCAAAGCGAAGGCAAGCTGGGAGTTAGAACCGATAGCAAAGGTTGTAGTTCTTTGCAATTACACTCCTAGTCCTGGGTTCAGTTTGAAAGCTTGCCACGTGCTGCGGGCAGCTGTACTCGGAAAGCCATGCAAAAATCCAAGTATCCTTGGTACCGTTAGACAGAAAAAAGCCCTACCATTCCTGCCATTCGTTATTAATCCAGAGTGACATTCGATGCATATTTAGAGAGAAAAAATATAGCCTGCTGTGAAACGTCGAGAGCGGCAGGACTTTTTAATCTGTAAACATAAAAGTATTAAGTCCCCGATTAAAAGAAAAGACCATCAAGGCAGACTGCAAGAGTGGAGAAGGTTTGAGCTCTAGATATCTGTTGGATTGCAACTCCCATCAGCCTTAGCCATCATAGCCAATAGGATTTATGGGAGTTGTAGTTTAACATCATGTGGCCAGCCAGATCTTACCCATCTCTGGACTAGAGGCTAACTTTGTAATGTGTGAAGGGCAGCATTAATACCTGGGGGCATGGCTGCGGGCGAGTTCTAAGTGCCTACAGTGCAAGGTGATAATAACCAATTTATGCATCACAAATTATATCAAGATTCCCCCCTTTGCCCCCCATTATTCAATTCAGATAAGCAATCTTAGACTGCAACAAACCTAATTAAACTTCTACCCTGATGGACATAACTGGCAATCTGTAGGGAATCTGCATGCTGTTTAGAATTCAGGAACAGTTTCAAACTAGTTATGTCAGGATTTTCCTCCTCAGTCTGTAAGAATGGCTGTTTAAGGGCATAAGCCTCTGCACTGTTTAAACCACAATGCTGGCTGAATGGGGAACGCTGGGAGCCGTAGAACTTTTGTCTGTTTAGACATGCATAGAATTGCACCCCGTGCATAGAATTGCGGGGTGGTGGTGGGGATGTGTACATGACCAGCCTGCTGTACGCACTGTTGTGCTAGATTTGCTAGCATAGCAGGCTAAGGAAGCAATCGGATGGTGCCTGGACATTTTTCCTGGGACATTCCCCTTTCTGGAACTGGAGATAGCACTCCAACCCTGAGGGAGAGTTGGCAGTTTGACCCCCTTCTTTGCCCCCTCTCAGCTGGTGTAGAAGGAACAGCCCTCTGAGGCCAGAAAATTTTCCTTCTCTGGGTGCCCTCCCCGAAGGAGATTAGGAGGATGACTACCCAGAGAAGGGCCTTCTCTGCGGTGGTGACCCAATTGTGGAATTCACTCCCCAGAGAAGTTTGCCTGGTGCCATCACTCTGTTCTTTTTGGCACCAGGCCAAAACCTTTTTATTTTCCCAATGTTTTAAGACCTGACTTATTTTCATTGGGGTTTTATTATTAATTGAATTTTAGGATGCTGTGTTTTAAATGTTTTACATTTTGTATTGTTAAACCGTCCCGAGACTTCGGTAGTAGGTAAAATTTAAAAATGATTTAAAATAAACAAATAAATCAACCAACTTTGGAGAGTGGGAAAAGGGAGTGTTCTGGTGGACAGATAGGGGAGGAGGCACTTCGGTTTTGGTTCTAGCATTGAGATTTGAGCTCTACAAGGGGTGTTTCCTTTCATGCTTTTCAATGACATTGCCACTAGATGGCACTGTGGAAGAACAGAATAGTGCAAGAAAGTGGAAATGCGGAAAAGGTGTTATCTTTCTCCATCAGAAATAATGCCTTATTTATCCTGCTCTGAAAAAAACTCATCAAACGCACTGCTAACGAACAAAAGCAAAACTGTAGCATTGTCACAACACAGCATGAAAGACCCATATGTTGAGAATGAAAGGGCCAGTTATTCTTGACACCTGTTCCAAGGTCAAGCAGATTAAAATAAATAAAATAAATTTGTCAGATGAGGAGGAACCCTGGGAACCAGAATTCTTAGACACTGAAATGCAGAGGGGCTTATTGCATGGGTACCATCCCCAAATGATTGGGAGGATGTTGAGAATAGTCAGCTGCAGGAAGGGGGATGGGTAAGAACTCAGTCAGTTGTGAGTAGGGAATGATGAGTACAAGCTAAATGCCTTGCTCAGAAAAGCTGAAAGTCTTTGGAGTGGCATTTAGAATGGAGGAAAGGGCTGCAGGAAGCTCCAGAATGTGCCAAGCCATCAGTGGCTGAGAAAAGGAGAAGGAGCATGACTGTCTAGGGACCCCCGAGGGTCCTGGGACCACAAGTGGGGTGGGTTTTATCCCTGGGCCTGAGGGGCTGCACCCCTGCTCTCTTTGCACATTTGCGCATAAAGCAAGGATTACAAAAATGTCACACGTCTCCACTGCTCCCTTGTGCAGACCCAGATAGCACAGCCCTTCCCAGAGCTTTAGAACTGCTTGGAGACGTGAAGAGCGCAAGGCGTTGCTTTTCCCTTCTCGTGTCTCGCCACTGCTTTTGCTATTGATATGATTCCTCCATCACATTTTCAGAGATAACGTGCATAGAAAAGCGCTCAACCAAATAGCAAGTAATCAAAATACAGCTCCTGAAGGGATTGGTGTGGGGCCATGGACACAACATGCATCTTATCAGCTAAATAGGAAAATACCAGATGGGATGGTAGAAGAATATCTTTACGGTGACCGATTATACCAGTTAGGCGGAGAGTGACAGACATCAGCTATTGGGGACAAGGAGCGTGTCTTTGATGCAAGCGTCACATCCCTTCCACCACCACCACCGCTCACAAGTTTTCTCTTTCAGATTGCAGTCCTGTGCATGCCTATTCAGACATAAATCCCACTGAGTTCAAGGGGATTTACTCACGGGTAAATATGCACAGACTTGCACCCTTAAGGCATCCTGTGGAAATCCACTTTCTGTTCAGAATTGAGTAAATTAGTTACATAACAATTTCCCCCTCATTCTCTACAATGGCTGTTTCAGAGCAGCACTCTGTGCATTTTTAGACACCTGTGGTGGGCACAGAAGGACTTGTTTTCTGTCCTGGGTTTGCACCTTAGAAACATAGAAACATAGAGCAAGTCAGAAGGGGCCATCCAGTCTGACCTCCGGCACCAGCCGGCTCGGCTCACGACATGCCCACCATGTGCACGTCCAGCCTATCCTTGAGCACCCGCACCGATGGGGCCTCAACGACCTCTCGTGGAAGCCCATTCCACACCCTCAGGGTCCTGACTGTCAGGAAGTGCTTCCTGGCATCCAAATGAAACCTGGGTTCCCTGAGCTTTGCTCCATTGGAGCGCGTCCTGCCTTCCTCTGCAGGGGAGAACTGGTCTCTACCCATCTCCATGTGACATCCCCTCACATACCTGTATGTCGCCAGCAGATCCCCTCTGAGTCTCCTCCAGGCGGAAGAGACCCAGTTCCCTCAGTCTCGCCTCATACGGCATCCCCTGCAAACTGGCCACCAAGCTTGTGGCCCTACGCTGCACTGACTCTAACCTAGCTATATCCTTTCTGTAATGAGGGGCCCAAAACTGAGCACAATACTCCAGTTGAGGGCGCACCAGAGTTGTGTAGAGTGGTAGTAATACCTCTCTTGATCTAGAAGCCACACTTCTGGCTATGCAACCAAGGGTGGCGTTCGCCCTCTTGACCACTGCATCACACTGCTGACTCATGTTTAGCCTGCAGTCAACCAGCACCCCGAGGTCCCTTTCACAAGTGCTGCTCTCCATCCACTTGTCCCCTAACCTGTACCTATGACATCCATTCCTATGCCCCAAGTGCAAGACCTTGTACTTATCCACATTGAATGCCATCCTGTTGTCCCCTGCCCATAGTCTGTCCACACCTTGACGTGTGCTGTTAGCTGGGCACTGCGTACACATGAGCCTGGCTCTTGCTGTTGTGAGCAGCAGGAATGCTGGAGAGCGGTGGCCTGGAAGTATGGCCCAGGGGCATCCAAAGAGCTGCATCCAAAAGTTTCCTTTAAATCCAATTCCACCAGCAAATAAACACGGGAGCCTCAATCCCTGATATGTGCAATAAACCATGATGCATTTCTTCATCCTGTTTATGGACCTTTCCCCTCTCCCGTCACTGTCTTTGAAGTGGGTCAGTCAAGTGGCTACATGAGCTCGAGGACAGGCATGGCTGGGCATCAGCCAGGGAGCCCCATCCCCATGGGGCCCATTGATGAGATTGCTCCTCCTCGTCCTCTTCCCAGTGCAGCCTGCACCTCTACTCTGGCCCGGATGACGGGGTGGCGAAAAAGGGAGCAGCAGATGCTGCTGCTGACCCACTTCTCGGCTCTTTCTCTCCATGTGTCAAGCAAGTGGGTGCCAGCAATGGGGAGAAAGAGAACAAGGGG